CACACACACACACACACACACACACACACACACACACATGGACGCAGTGCATTATGCATATCTGGAGATATTGTGGTGTGCACGTATTGTGACATTCCCCAAACCCGGTGTTTGTATGAACTAAACTGTAACTCATCGGGGGGTGTCTGGGGGGGGGTGTAGCCCCCCCCAGCGCCTTACAGATTAAGAATACTTTTATTCCCGCGACTAATAATCTATTTATCCGTTCGGACTGGAAAATTGACGGGCGGTGGTGGCTGTGGTGGCCGTGGTGGCGGTGGTGGCGGTGGTGGTGGCGGTGGTGGTGGCGGTAGTGGTGGTGGCCACTCTGGCGAACAGCAGGCGCTATGGCCAGCTGTAGCGGCTTTGCAAAGTCGGGTGCCGCATGATGCCGCCTTCTCGCTCGAGTTCCTGCAAGCCGTATATGATATTTGCACGACTCCATGTCCCGAAGCCACCCCTTAAACTTTAGCCAATGCTCGGGGCCTCTGGAGACTTGCGGTGTGCCCCCATGAAGCTGGCGGCTGTGGGGCGGATTGCTGAGGCTGCTGGCGCTTCGGGGATAAACATCATAGACAGCACCGAAATTCACCCAGCTTTCGTTACCATTTGCCCGCATGGGCATTCTGACTTGCGGTCTGCAGCACTGTCCATGCGGCATGGAGCCTGCAGGCGGTGCTGACAATTCCGCCAGTGCAAGCTTAGCTCCCACACCATCAGCACTGCTGCAACAAAGCACATCTCCCACCACGTTATGTACAACATGTTACAAGTTATGTACAAGTGTGGGGGGCTTTAGCAGTAGTGGTCATCAGAACGGCCCCTCACTGTTTGTTACTTTACTGCGCACAAAAGAACACAACCCCACTGTTGAGTCACTAGTACTAGTGACCTGTGCATTGCATCCTTGTTTTTTTTAGTCTAAGCTGTCTGCTGCCTTTGGTGGCTGGATGCCCTTCTGACTCTTGAGCATATTGAATGCCCGTGTCCACAGCTCCTTCCACAGTGTCTTTGGACCAGGGTGCCACACGCTTCTTTGCTGCACTGCGTACTGTCGCAGTGCTGGATGCTGGCAATCTGCTCACTGTGGGCAGTGGCGACGTGTCTTTCCTACTTCACAACCCAAACTACCAGCTGTATGTTCGGAAGTGCTATCCGGACCTCTTCTATGCCCTCTACGAGTCGACAAGCAAGAAGCATGTCGGTGAGGCCCACCTCTTTCTCTGCTTTTACCTGCCAGGCTACCAGTGTGTACAGTTAGGACCCAATGCACATGGTGACTGCATCATCATCATTGTATGCACCATTGTGTGTTCTTGATGTGGGTTGAGATGTACATGAGTCAGTGGGTGGGAGACAGCTTGTGTTCTTTAGACATGTAAATGACTAATGGCTGGCACTGGCCTGCTACACTGCTGGCCCCTCTCCTGTCTGTTGAATGAAGCACCCACCCTTACTGGCACACCGGGTCGGGTATGAGGGACTCTACTTATCCCAACCTGCCATTTTGCCAGGATGGTCTCTAACAATATGGATTCTAGTTGAATATTGCCCTCGAGAACAAGCAATGCATGGACAGTTTTTTTATAAGCACCAGAGCCCTTCTGCAAAGCTATGCCTGTGTCCTGCTGCTGTTGATCATTCACTCCACTCACTTGATGACCAAGGCCACCCCCTTGCCCTTGTGTGTTTTGTTGCAGTTACCGGGACGCCTGGGATTGGAAAGAGCTACTTCTTTTACTACATGCTGTTGCGGCTGCTGCACAGCCCATCGCCACCGCCCTTCATCCTTTGNGAGCACTACGGATTTCCTGGTGTAATGGTGGGTTACCCCTGTACTGTGCTGTATCTGTGTGCTGGTGTAGAAGCGTCTTGACATTTTTCCTTTTTTATGCCCTTTC